GGTTAACAAAAATTTATCCAGTTCTTTTAAATCTTCATCAATTTGCAGACTATTAAGCTTCTACTTAGTTTTGTATTTATTGGCATAGTGACCAATTTTGCCACATTTGTAACATTTGACATTAAAATTTTTACTTTTAGGATAAGATCTCTTAACCTTCTGAAAATTCGTATTCAAAGATTCTAGTTTTTTATAATATTGCTTTTTTCCTTTATAAGGTTTTTTATATTTTTTTTACAGTTCTAGATTTCCTGTGATTTAGGAAATTGAATTTTTGTATCATATGCAAATTGATCAAAAAGTGTTGCCAACTGTAAAATAAACTGATATATTATTGCTTTTAGGATAAGATCTCTTAACCTTCTGAAAATTCGTATTCAAAGATTCTAGTTTTTTATAATATTGCTTTTTTCCTTTATAAGGTTTTTTATATTTTTTTTACAGTTCTAGATTTCCTGTGATTTAGGAAATTGAATTTTTGTATCATATGCATATTGATCAAAAAGTGTTGCCAACTTTTACTGTTATCCTTGTGACAAGGTTATTGCCACTTCTGATATCTTTTTGGAAAAACAGATTTTACAAAATCCATTTCGGAAAAGTAGATTCTACTTTTGTCAAACTCAATTCCAAAGTGGAATGGATTATATTTTATCCTTTCATTTAATCTTCTCCATTATCAATGATGTCATTGCATTTGATTGTGTAGTTGTATCAAATTATTCTGATGGAATGAATCCTTTTTTAGTACAATTCACGTCAGCTCCACTATCCACCAGAGCAACAGCATCTTTAATAATAAACTCTTTATTTATTACAAAAGCAATTTGAATACACCATTTTTGGTGACTGTTCCTTATTTTCAAAAGAGGGAATTTCCTTATTCTTATCTTTCTTTGAAAGTATAGAAACTTGAAACTTCATGTGTATTACATCATTTATTTCTTTATGAGATGATTTATCTTGTTTGTCCTTCTCTCCCTAACCCCAAGTTAAAGTGTGTTAATAATTCACATCCAATGGCAACCACCACCCTATTCTTGTATCATCAAGATCAACACAGATGACATGGCAATGTTGTTGGCAATCCAGGACCAGCTGGAGCAAGTGGTTTTCTAGAAATCACCATCACCAATGGCTTTCTGGGATTTACTCCTAGAATTGACTCTGCCACTTCCCACTTCTCTCACTGCTGAAACCCTGGGTGGGCAATCTGAGATGTATTGAGAATAGCTTAGCATTTAGGTTTTAAACATGTCATATTGGAATGTGATGCCTCTGTGGCTGTGTTTCATTTGTATCTCAGAATGCAGACAGTCCCTTATGGCTCTTTACTTTGAACATTGATTGCAGGCTCCTCCTGGCAAGGCAGTGGACGGTACAAGTGGGACACGTGCTGCATGAAGCTAACTCCTGAGTGGATGCACTGATAAAACAGGGATGTCCCCAGAGATTCTTTTGTCATCCACCCCATTCCCCCTTCTTGTACATATCCCCTTTTGACTGGGGACTTAAATTGATCTTTTCATACATATAAATAAAGCTTCCTTGTTTCTTCCACACACACACACACACACACACAAAAAAAAAAGGGGAAGAAGAAGAAGAAGAAAACTTCTTCAAATTGACTACAGATTTATTTTGCACCTTTCCAACAACTATGAAGTACACCCATACTTTGGGTAAGTTAAATGGCCCCACCTCCCACTGTGCCCTTTAACAGTCTCTATTTACAAGACAAAACCTCTTAGCTTCACAATTTGGACCTTTCTCAACCTGAAACTAGAGCTACAATCATACTGATGCAATTATCAATCTATGTGCATGTGATTGAACCATTTGACCAGCTTTTACTTCTCCATGCTACTACTTTCTCAAGAATAGCATAATATAGTTATAACAAATATAACGCAGGATTAAGAAAAATACTTTTTCGATACTTATCAAAAAAAAAAAAAAAAAAAACCTTCTTTGATGACAAGACAATCTCATTAAATTATTTACATAAGTTGAAAAGTCCCATCATCTAAGCCCTTCGTTATATCCATGTTCCTATAGTTCTAGGGAACATATCCTATTAAAACTTCTCTCCATTGATATTAAATAATTATTTGTAGGGATTATTCGACCATCAATAAAAATTTCCTAATTCTACACCGCAATTTTCTTAATATATACAATTTGTATATGTTTAGTCTTGCTCGGTCTAAAAACCTTTTGATTCTAATACACCCAGTTGTACTGCCAACTTAAAATTTACCTTTAATTTCTCTGGTTAATTTATTTATTTTTAAGATAGGGTGTTAAGTTATTAACTATAAATAATGTTATGAATTTCTTCCATAATGCTCCAAAATAATGCAAGAAGATATTCTAATACCAACTATTAGTACATGTAATGGGACTATTCCGCTTGGAAATTCACTTGATAAATCAACTGAGATGCTTTTTCTTCTAAGCAAATTCATCATATATTGTGATCCAAGTTCCCTGTCATGTATGCCATTACAAACATATCAGAGTCTTCGTCCTCTCCTACGTTACATGGACTCGAGTGCGGGTATCGGGTGTGGGAGTGTATTTAAGGGTCGGACACTTTAAAACTAAAAATTGAGGATGCATGGATATGGATCCAAATTTAGATACGGTTACGAGGATATGTTAAATAGTTATTTTCCAAATATATTTATTATATGAAGATGAATTTTAAAAAATTAAGGAATTACAAATTTTGTTCAAAAAAATAGCAAATAAATTATAAATAAAAATTACAAAAATTATTTTAGACATAAAATAAATTATTTTAATTTAGGCACAAAAATTATGTTATTTATGATATATTTTGCTATATAATATTTTTTTGGGTGAATAATTTTATATTAATATAGTTTATACTATATATAATTTCAATTATATTAAAAAGGAGAGAGAGAGAGAGAGAGAGAGAGAGAGAGATTGAGACCAAAGGGGAAGACGAAGGAACACAATCGCTATTCGAAGATCAGCTTCAGCTTCAACTTCGATTTCACTCTTTGTGGGCCTTGCAATTTGGCTCTGCGACCAGGTCAGATTGAAGTTGGTGGCCAGGTTCTCTCCTCGCTCTCTCCTCTTTCGTTTCGTTTGCCGTATCAGTTTGTAAAGAGCCGTATCCCGACCGTATCCCACACCCGCACCCATGCCATGTCGTGTTAACACTGGCCCTCCGAAATTCCAAAGAGTCAATGTAACGTAGTTCCTCTCTACAAACCTTTACTTCAATCACCTAAGCTACTTTCCATGACTAATCCCATGTGTATCCTTCACTTATCAATTTCCACCATCTATGAATGTAATTACAACTCCTCCTTGGCAGGTAGTGTATGTCATACTCAACATTCTTCTACAGCTTAAAATAATCACCATATGCCTTGAAATTAAATCTCACTTACAGCTTTTACAAGCTCTTTTTGGCATATTAAATTATTCAAATTCGTCATTCCATGGGCCTTGTAAGGTTTTCTTGTAGGAATCAGTAACCAAAATTTGATCTCCATTTTTATACAAAAAAATATGCTATACCATATAGATTCTCCAAGCATGTCTTCCAATTTATTACAAACCAGAGAGGATACCTCATGCAATTCAATTTGTCACACATGCAAGTGATCAAGCCTCTTAAAATAAGAAAGAGGGATGAAGCAAGAAATGTAAATATGAGGAGTTATGCGAGTTATGCAAGTGTGTATAGCTTGATCAATTTACGCCAATTCCATTAGTAGTGCACATAAGGATAATTTATGACAAAAGCTAGACTACTCAAAAAAAAGAAAAAGAAAAAAAAAGGGCAATGCTAGTGCCATTGAATGGATAACATACTATGAGATCAATTTTACGGAGAATTACTGATGGGGAACAGAAAGGAGTTCAAAGAGAAATTAAATATTTTGTAATTTTATTTATTTATGAAGTTCAATTTAATTTAGAGCTTTATTAGGTTAGTTTTCTATTTTTGGTAACCTTAATTAGGGTTTTCTGCTTTGCCTATATATATATGGCTTTATGTAATAGTTTTAGGTTAGCTTTGAGATAATAATATTGAGTTAAAGGTCGTGGCTATTTTTGTGAGATTAGAGTTTTGACCCTTGTGTTCTTCTTCTCTCTTCTAGTTCTTCTCTGAACTTTTTGATCTTCTCTTTTGCATCAATTCTCCACATATTCTAGGTTTGCGATCAACTAGATAGTTTAACGAATTTATTAATAGCTGTTCTACATCAATTGCTCACTAAATATTTACTCTCCATCCTCTTCAATTTAGACCATTGGGAAATTGAAAGCTTCATGAGAATCAAATCTCCCAATGAGAGCTTTCCAAAGAGCATTGGGTGAACTAACACTAGCTGTACCACACCTGTCTCGTTGAGGTAGTATCCAATTGCCAGTGTAGTGAACAACAGAAAATCAAATTGAACCTCATGAAAAATCACATCTGCTATGTGTCCCCGCACGAGGGAAGACACCAATATTATAGTTTTTCATATACACTGTATATAGATTACCACAAACAATATAGATTAAATATAATTAACAATAATTCTAACAGTGAGAAAATTAAAACCAGTTATGTATAGCAATCAAACAAATTTCATGAGTCAATAGGCATACACGAGATAATACTTTCTTATTCTTATGATACGAGTAAAAAACAATATGAACAGATCTTGCCATGAGTAAAAAACAATAAGAGAATCTTATTTGGTGTCTTCGAATTTTAAACCCTCCAAATGCAACTTCAAAGTTTGAAAATACAGTACCATAACAGGCACACAATGTCAAGTAATATATGTGCACATAAAATAAATCAAAACTAAGACATCATCCAATCAATAATTATTCACAAGGATGGAAGATCAAGAACCAGGTAATTAGCCTGTTCAATTTCTTAGAATAAAAAATTCATTGAAACTTAGGAAAAAAGAATATGACGAATAACCAATTAAAGAGTTTGGAGGGCGAACTCTAACCTGTAACAGAAAGGTTTGCCAAGCCTGGATAGGAAGAATACAAAAACAAGTTAAGCCAGTAAAAGTTAGTACAAATGAACTCTCTAGTTTAACAAAAAAACAACGAACAAAAAACCACCAGATAGCACGAAGTAATAAATAAATGAGGTAACTCATAATCTCCCAAGAAATTTCAAAAGCCAAACAGGTTTCAGAGACATAATGTAATAAGACAACATACTACTGAGCAGAAAAGAATTTTTTAAAACCTATCACCTACTTCACCCACTTAAACCTACTCCAAACAAACAGAATTTGATTAACATATTTTCCACTATATTAAAACATCCAAAAGGAGATAGGTTACTGAGAGGTGCAATAAACGGGTATGCAAATGTGAAGGCACAAAAACTGTGGGGGCCACACGCACAAAGAAGCAGCAAGTGAAGAGGTTCATGTCATATTCATTATCAATGTAAATTTATGAGGAAACACGTCGGCAAGGTTAATGAGGACTTCACCGGATCACATCACATGCACAAGGAATTAGAAGGTACATGAATTATTATTGATAAGAAATATGCTCTTAGTGGACATATTACAGGCATTTCTAGAGAAAATACAAATAACCCTATAATAAGTAAGAACATCAAATTTGATTCTGAAATTTGTGGAGCTGATCTTTGATTTGGGGTGTGGATATCTCCTAAACCACCACTGCATACACGTGGACAATGATGTGTACCTTACATGTCAACTCAAATGACTTTGGCTGCCTCAGTTGTTTAACCATGTGCCAATCTCATCTTACTATCGTAGTTGTTGTACCGTGACATTCTAATATGCCTAAGCCAAGAGGTAAGGCTTGAGTAATCCTAAGTTCTCAACAAAGCACCGCATGACCCTTGGTCTTGTGGCTTGGTGGTTAGAGATCGAGGTGTCACTCGGCGTGATACCCTGCAAGTGTCACCTCACCAGCTTAGGCCCATCTTACTGAGAGAGATATCGCACCATTGGGCTTACATATGGAGGTTCAGGGATCAAAACAAATCCTAGTGGAAATGATATGTTCCGACACATTTCCTAATAGAATTCCAAAATATTCAAAGAGGTTATTAAAGGGCAAGTGACCTACCTTCTATAGAAAACGGGGTCCTCCTTACATCACAACATTATACACAAAGTACTCTAGAGAGGTCATCTCTGACCTCCATATTTTGAGCCCTTTACTCATGCCATAGTGCACCTCTCCATTGCTCCCCCTATCAAATTGTTCTCTCTCTCGCTCAGAAATCCCTTTTATCCCCCGTATCAGTGACATGTACTGTTAGTCTGTCATTTTCCAGTGAAACACCTAACCCCCAATCCATACTACCTCTAGAAAGCTATTCAAAATATAGATCTTAGAATCTAGACAAATTAAAAATCCTTTGACAAGAGGTCCAATACCTTAATATGAGAGAGAGAGAGAGAGCCTAATTTGGGAACAAGAAAATATTTAGGGCTTGTAGCAAAGAGAAAGCCAAGCCAATTCTTAATGATTTTTTATTTATTTTTTAGCTCAGTAACACTAATCAAATACTTGCGTATCCATAAGAAAAGTAGCAAAAACATACAAAAAAACAAAAGACAAAAACAAGTTTGCTCATTTCTCTATTGTGATAAACAAGAATCTTAAGGAAAAAAGTTATTTCATGAAAATCGCAACTTAGTTTGATTCAAATGAAGACTTAGTGATTCAAACAACATGGTTCGATACGAAATCAATTATGGAGCATGTTAACATTTTTATTAACAAAGAAATTCCAAACTGGATACAGGCAATTCCTGGGTTTAACTGAACATAGGAAATTCTGAAACACCTCTATAGGCAAAAGCAGAGGTCTAACACCGGCAAGGAGAGCAAAGCAGATAACATAAAGCACAATAATAAAACCCAAAAAAATTCTTCTTCTTTTTTCAATCAATATAATACAACATACCAGAATGAATTCAAAAAGAGATCAAATATCCCGAAATAACCCAAACAACGAATCAAAAACCTTTGAAACATGAAACGAGTGCCCCTAATTTTCTTCCAATGATCATATAACATAATAAATCAGAATCTGAAAAATAGTAAGAATCTAGAAATATGAAATGAGCACCTTTCAATTTCACTCTACACACCATAATGTCAAACTAAAATGATAATTAACAACTACCCACAAGGGAAAACAACAACAACAGCAACATACAGAGAGCTATACATATGGAAATAGAAGCATATTTATGAATTGGAATACGTTGAGAAGAGGGAGATATACCAGGAGCAATCTTGAGAAGGGAGAGAGGAGGAGGACAATCACAAAGGCAAGGAGTGCAAGCAGGTGAAGAAGTGGGTCCCAACCTTAAACCCTTCTTGAACTTCCAATAAAGAGCAGGTCCACACACACACACAGCCGACACCACTGCGAATAACACCAAACAACCCCTTAAACACCTCCCTGATCTCCTTGGCATCTCCCCCCCTCTTCTCTCTCTCTCTCTCTCTCTCTGAGACTGTATTATGTGTGTGAGTAGTATCAAGAATGAGATCTAATGCATTTGGTAGTTGATCTTCCCAATTTTTAACTATTTTTTATTTTAGGGAAAATTATACTAATGCACCCTATGTTTTGCCCCTTTTATTATTTTAGCCCCTATATTTTTAATTAGTTCAAATTTAATTCTTAATTTTCAATTTTATATTAATTTGATCTAATTGGTAATAACAATAGCATTTTTGCGGGTTGTCCGCGGATTGTGATTTATACCGCACAAATTCAACTCGTCTGCCCAACTGATTAAAAAAAAAATATATATATATATATATATATATATTTTTTTTTTAATCAGTTGGCCTAGTACAAGCAAAGCAGTTCAAGAGTCACTTTTCATTCTTTTCTCATCTCTTACTGTCTCTTTCTTGGCAAAGCAAATAACGTTTATGTGTATATATTCATATTGATGTTGATTCTATTTTTCTTGAAAATAAAGATTGAACCCATCAAATGATATATATATATATATATAGATATAAATATAGATATGTATGTATGTTTTGGCCTATTGAAATAGAATATATGATAGTAGACAATTCCAAAAAATAAAAAACAAAAAAAAATCCAAAAAGAGAAGCCCAAAAAACATGAAAAAAGATACAAGCCTAACCCACTCAACCAATCCGTACCCACCCTCATAACCGATTAACTCACTTGCACAAACCGCAACACGCAATTTGGGCAGCTGTGAATCCATTTTTCATGGCTCGGACCCGCACAAAACTAGCCCTCAAGAAGCCCTATTTTTGACGGAAAATAATTACTGTTGATTAAATTAAGTTGAGTAAATTTATATTTTTATTCTTAAAATTATAACACATGTTACTTATGTATATATTTTTCATAAAAAATGTTAAGAGTTATAATTAATTGGACTAAATTAAGACAAAATTACAAATTTAAGATTAAAATTGAACTAATTAAAATCACAAAAATCAAAATGACACAAAAATCAAAGTGAAAGAATTATTGTCGTAATTTATCATTTGTTTTTTATATTTTAAAGAAACAAGTTCAATGCGTTCGCGTTGATGAGTTTTAAACAAAAAGGTCTTACGAGTTTTGAGTTTTGACACGGTTAAAGGGGAAATTATTCAATACTCCCGGAGCACCACGTGTCCATACTCCAAACCAATCACCAATCAGTTAGCCCCATGTTGTCCCCTCATCTCCAACATAAATCGTGGGCCCTTGTGTCTCTCCACCAATCAAAACATTATGGAGTACCACGTGTCCATACTCCGGGAGTACTGAATAATCACCCCGGTTAAAGACTATACAATCCTGTATAGTTACTTAATTGGCCCAACCCAAGCGTTTCATCATCTCGTATTCAAGTTTCGGCAGCATTTTCGCTGGATGACTTGACGACGACTTTTTTATAACTATATTTTAAATTTTATATATTTTTTTATATTTAATTACTCATAGCATCATTTTTAATACACAAATACAAATTTTATGGTGTATTTATAAAAAAATAAGAGTTAATAACAATTCACTTATAATTTTATGGGTAAATTACAAACACACCTCCTGAGATTTACTTAAATCACAAATTACTCTCTGTGATTCTAGAAATTATATTATGCCTCCTAAGATTTCTAATTTCATAACAAATAGGTCATTTTATTAATAAATTATCAAGTTAATTAATAATTTTTAATAATGTTAAAATTTTATTTCAATTAAAAATTCAGATAATTTTATTATTGTACAGGTAAACAGTTAGAAATTTTACTTTTTCAATTAATTATGTTAAATAAAAAATTCTGACAATGAGATATTTATAATTTTACAAACCACAGGGGGCAATTCATATTTTAAGCAAACTTCAAGAAGTATATTTGTAATTTACCCTAATTTCTATTGAGTTCACTTAAATGCATTATTGTTGAAAAAAAAAATGTATCAAAGAACTTTAATCATTTCATTCTTGAATTTTATATTTAAAAATATTCTCGCTGTAAAAATTTTCACAAATCAAATAATTAAAATTATCAAGTAGCATAATATTTTATTTGTGTAATCTCAATTTTGACTCCCACTAAATATTAATGTCACATTTTTATAAAATATTAAACTGGAGAGTGATTCTATTTATTCCACACACATTGCTCATCACACACTCCAATCTATAATTTATTTTATTACAATTGGGTAAATTACATTTACCTCTCCTGAGGTTTCTGACAAATACAGGGACCTCTCCTGTGGTTTGAAGTATTACAGTAACACCCCTTACTTTACCTGACAATGTCAAGATTCCCCCATTCCGTCTATTTTGCACAAACGACGTTAGTATCCAATAGAAAATGACCATGTGACCCTTGCTTTTGCTTGCAAAAAGACCGAAAAGCCCTTTGTTCACAAAATCCCTAATCAATACATTCACAATACAAATCGAATTGTTCAGAGAAAGAAGAGAGAGAGGGAGGCGATCGTCGTGAACCGATCGTCGATTGTGAAGAAGACGAAAAAGCTTGAGGTTTTGAACCGATCGTCGTTGGCAGTACACAATGTAAAAGAGTTTCATCGGTGAGAAGTTGCTGTTATGGCTTCCAGGTAAGATTTCGAACTCTGTAAGCTTCGAATAGTGTTTTAAAATGTGTGTTGATGATTTTCGATTTTTTTTTCCATCTTTTTTCTTACAAATTTGTTTGTATTCTGTGTTTGATTTGATGAAATGTATGTGAAAATGGTTTTCTTCGAAAATATATATTTAGAGTTTATATTTTATTTGCAAAATTTCTGAATGGAAAAAAGGAATTTGTTGAATATTACTATAATAATAGTGTAATGTAGGGATTTAATATAAATTCCTGATTTTTTTGATTTTATTTATGAGATGTCTGTTTAGGGCTTTTATTTGATTTGCAATGTTTAGGGCTTTTATTTGATTTGCAAAATTTCTGATTCGAAAAAAATGAATTTGTTGAAAATTTATAAATTTCTAATTTTCTGGGTGTTATTCATGAGATGTATGTTTAGAATGAATTTCTGATTTGTTGGGTTTTACTTATGATTGTTTAATATTAGTATAATTATAGTGTAATTTAGGGATTTCTTCATGTTTTCATATTTTCTTCAGTTAATTGTTGAGTACTCAGTTAATTTTTACATCATTTTTCTTATTTTTCTTGTCAATTTGTCATTGTATGGGCTTGCTTATTTTATTTTATAATTGGTACATCATTATGATCACAGTATGGCTGCATTTCCTTATTTTGATTTAATCATCAACTACAAAGGAAAAGTGGGAAGAGTGTTTGATGTAGACCCAAATATGTATTGCTACATTGATGCCTTGAAGGATGTAACTGCAACAGTCATATCTCACATTTCTTGTAGTGAAGCAATAGCAATCACATTGCATTGTGATATGCCTGGTACTGACACAAGAAGATTAGTAGAAAATGATCTTAATGTGCTAGACATGTTTTATGTGCAAGGTAGGAGTAAAACAATTAACTTGTATGTAGACATAGAATATTCTATTGGAATGAGTGATAGTGGACATAAAAGTAATGTTGGAAATGAAAATCATGGAGTAGATGCTGTAGATGTAGAGCAAGACTACCATACTGTAGATGTAGATAAAGAGTACCATGAGGACAATGTTTATGGGTTTAGTGATGAGGATAGGGATTGGAATGCAACTGCTGAGGATGAAAACCAATCAGATGGCAATGAGATTTTGAGTGATGATGATAATGAGTGCTCAAGTGATGATGCTGAACTTAGTGATTACCAATCTGGTGATGATGAAGTGCCATATTCTACTATTGATGATGATTATGATGATGAAACAGACTGTCTAGATGATGAAGAGATGAGGTTTCCAGGCATGAAGTATGATGGTACCTACAATGGGAAAGAGCCATATATGAATCAAGATGGAGAAGTTGCATTGGAAGAAGGGATGATTTTTCCAGAAGTGAATACTTTCAGGGCTACATTGAGGGACTATACAGTGCAAACTGGTTTCAAGATAGTAAGAGACAAAAATGAGAAGTCTAGAGTAACAGCCCATTGTGCTGTTGAGGGCTGCCCTTGGAGAATTCATGCATCTCCACTTCCAGATGGGATCACCTACAAGATTAAAACCTTAGTACCTACTCACACATGTAGCAGGATGAACACAAACACTGAAGCTACATCAGCTTGGATTGCTAAAAAAATGGTTGAAAGTTTTAAGGACAATCCACACATGGGCTTAAATACCATGCAAATGAAACTGAATAAAATATTTAGGATTGAGGCTTCAAGAATGCAACTATATAGAGCCAACAGAAGGTGCAAGGAGGAGCTGGAGGGTGATCATGGGAGCCAATATGTGTTGTTGCCAACATATGGTAAGGAAATCAACAAAACAAACCCTGGCAGCTTGGTTATCATAAATTATGACATACCCTCTACCCCAGTTTCAGAAGATGGAGAACAACCAGACCCTACCATTCCTCAATATCCATTGTTCCAAAGAATTTTCATATCATTTGATGCAATGAAAGCAGGGTTCATTAATGGATGTAGGCCATTCATAGGGGTAGATGGTTGTCACTTGAAGGGTCCCTATGGTGGTGTTTTAATTTCAGCAGTTGCCTTAGATGGAAATAATGGCTTGTTTCCATTGGCATTGGTGGTAGTAGAGGGTGAATGCAAGGACAGTTGGTCTTTTTTTTTTGCACAACTTGAGAACAATCATAGAAGATACACTACCTTCTAGACCATGGACCATCATGTCTGATCAACAAAAGGTACTTTACTGACATATTCAACAACTACTTTACTTACATAATTACAAATGACTCTCTAATTTTAAACTTGTAATGGTTAGTAATGTTTCATTGTTTTTATATGCAGGGCCTTGATAAGATTGTGAGTGACATTATACCGGAGGCAACTCATAGAAGATGTTGCATGCTCTTATATAACAATTTTAGAGCCAAATTTCCTGATTTAATTTTGAGGAAGCAATTTTGGAGAGCAGCAAGGGCTTACAATCAG